CCTGTGCATGTTTGCCAATTTTATTTGGAGGCATGGCCCAGAAACTGTATAAAATCACTGCTTCGAAAGGAGATATTTGTAAACACGTGTAATAGATGCTAAATTTGTCTGGCATGTTTTTCATCACCGGCGGAGTAAGGCATGAAATTCCTGTCACCCCACCTGAACGCGAGCTGCAGTGATGTTATTACAGTCCCTCTATTTTTCTCGCTTCCTCCCAAACAGCCCCCGCCCCTGCCCCCTAAGTAGTTTGACACTCATGCAAGATAGCAGCCCGTAACGCAAAGTGCTTGATCTCAACAATCTTACAGAAGAACAGAGGACCGTGAACAGTCTAAGGAATTTTCTACAAATTTATTTTCTGACGATGTTACATTATGCTAATGAGGTTAAAGCTAATTAGCATAATGAAATTCAACACCTCGTGGTTTGCTGTTTACCTTCAAAAGACGCTTTATTTTTTCGTTTTTTAACGAAATATTGGGTTGAAAACTAGCAAACATGAATTTACTGATAGAATTCATCAAAATAAACAAGGCCTTGCGGGTAAAAAGCTAAGCGCGAAGGAATTCCTCGCGTTTGAAGAGTACTGTATCAGAGAGTATGTGTGGAAGACATGGCCGGTTCGGCGAATTGCACGCAAAGATTCTCTGTACTGTTTTCTTACCTCGATTTTTCCTTCTTATCCTCCAGAATCCTTCAAAATAATTTGCTTCACTTGTATTTGGTCAAAATTCGTCGATACAAGCTTTCATTCTTTGCAACACCCGCAACAAACTCCTTGCCGCGTTTCTCAGTTTTCAAAGAATTGAGGCTTATAACCCACAGGGGGCTGGGACTAGCCAAATCTATTTGTGCGCCAAATTTGGAGATAACAGGAAGTAACGCAAAGTTTGGCGAATATATTTCGCTATAGGTCCTGAAGCTCCCATATTTACACGACCGGGAGACCACGCTACTTACGCAAGCGAGACTTACTATGATTTGTAAGGCAGCGAAGAAATAATAATTACATCACCGCAAACTGCATCATGTCCAGATGGATCTAAGTATTTAACTCTTTTTACGAATGATATCATTGGTTCGTGTGCATGCACTAGCCAAAATAGGCTTAGACTTTCGTTCCTCCTTTATAATCATCAAATCTTAACTTTGATTCTGCTTTACAATTCTACATGACTTGGATACATGTATTAGACTACAAAAAATGTCATTTTCCCATAATCGAAAAATTTGCATTTTTTCAAAGCTTTCGAGTCTATTTTTCTTTGAAAAAGGCCTAAACATGTATTTTTATGATGTTGTTTATAGACAAGAAAGCTTTTTAGACTATAAAAATGTCATTTTTACATAGTCGGAAAATTTCCTTTTTTTCCAAAGGGGTTAACCCACGATTTTGGGCAAAAATTTAAAGTTTCTTTCGTGTCTGCTTTCCTTTGAAAAAGGCCTAGATATGTATTTTTATAATTTTTTTTTTATTAAAAAGAAGGCTTTTTAAACTATAAAAATGCTATTTTCAGATAATCGAAAAATTTGCATTTTTAGCTATTTTTCACTTTTCGAAAGGGGTAACCCATGATTTTGGTAAAAAATTCGAAATTTCTTTCGAATCTGCTTTTCTTTGAAAAAGCCCTAGATATGTATTTTTATGATTTTGTTTATAAAAAAAGGCTTTCTAGACTATAACGTGATATGTGTGACTAACGCCTAAGAACGTCTGCGTGGGAGGGTTACCAAAATCCGCCATTTTAAGGGAGATTTGCGCATGAATTTTCAAAGGAATCTGCTAATGCAAAGTACCTCACATTCATAAATCATTTGATAGAAAACGGGAAGGAATGATTGCGTGACCAACGCCTAAATCTGCGTGGGAGGCTACAGGTAGAAAGGTTATCAACATTGATGAAATTATCCCTAAAGAGAAAATATGCTTTGATCTTTTAACAAATTCTCTCAACCAAATTTCCAAGAAATGTATGGAGGCTAGTTTGGAGAATTTGTATGTTGACAGGGCGGCTCCTGATGTTGATCGAGGTGCTTAAAGGTTTAAGACATGAGAAGCAAACTCTCACCTTCTCCATGCACCAGACGTAGTTAATCGATAAAAATCGATATCGGAAATCACTCGATATCATCGATATTAATCGATTTAATCCACCGATTAATATCGATTGAAATCGGAAATCGATAGAAATCGAAGTCAGAAAAAATAATTTACCGATTATTATCGATTAACAAAATCGATAACAATGGATAGGAATCGATAAAAAATCGTTATCGATTTCTATTGGAAAATCATCGATATTAATCGAAGTCACAACTTTTTTCTTTTTCGATTTTCATCGATTGATATCGGAAATAAATATCAATCATTGATTAATATCGATTACTACCGATACGTCTGGCATGCTCTCCTCCCAATTAGGGAACAGAAGGCCAAACTGTCCAAGTGCTCAACTACCCCTGGCAGGAATTACACGATCAGATGATAAGGTTTTCCAGGATTTCGTAGTTGGAATACTCAAAGGACACCAGAATTCACATCTCAGAGGCGGAGCTTTCGCAACTCAGCGGCGACGTGACTGGTACTATGCTTGTGAGTTTTCCACCTGAGATCTGAAACTAGAGGCTCGCTGTTTGCTATCTTTTTAAAAAGCTTAAACCTGTCTTCGCATCACTTGAATTCCAAAAACCAGGGTACACATTTGTTATAAGGTTATATTTAAGTACTGAAACTGTTTCCTGTTGACTATGGATGGCAAGGATGGACGTGCATTGAAACTTGACAAAGTTGAGCCAACATTTTCAAGTTATAACTTAGGGTATGCCTATAAAAATCACCAAAGAAAATGTTGTGGTTAGTTCTCCCTAAAAAAATTTGTTTGATATATTCGTCATAACTATACAGGGACATTTTGTGTTTGGGTAAAGGGATCATGATACGTTTCCGGGGAAACTGCCCACCTACCCCTTCCCTAAGCCAACATTTTGCCTCAAGTGAGAAGTAAGTGTTAATGCTGGCTTAGGGGAGGGGTAGGTGGACAGTTTCCAAAAAAAACGTCAAATGAAAAAGAACATGATACCCCTAATAACTCTTTTAGACAAGAGTAGTCGATAAGCTAGTATAACAACAAAAGGATAGTGTTACAGTTTTTATTTGCACTGTCGCTTCATTTTTATAAAATATATTTTTCCGTTACTCTGTCCTATTTCATATAAAAGGCAATACTAATTTGTTTAAATTACAGAATGACGTGTTCACATTAAGATCAAAATTCACTTAATTCGTTCAAATGAAAACAAGAAGAAAAAGAAATCTAATCTAGTTTTATTGCTACCTTTGATTTAATCATGTGTTAATTTTCAAACACTTTAAAAGAAAATGAGCTAGAAACTGCGCTTCGATGAAAAGAAACTAAATCAACGCCTTCTTGCGAAGTAGAATTTATGCATGGTAGAACCGGTCGGGGAACAACTCGCAAGTACTGCCAAAATACCGCCTTCTATTAAGCCGAAACCGTCCTAAACGATTGTTGTCGGCAAAATCCGTAATGCTGTAAGAGTTTCCGAATCTTCCGAATCTTATTAACTGATCAGAAGAGGAATTATGCAATTTGTTAGACTAGTAGATATCAGAAAAAAGAGATTGTTCCCTGCCAGGATCAAACTCCTTAATAAAAAAACACAGCAGCCACAAGATAATGGCTGACTGTGGCTGGGTGCTTGTGATGCCTGATGCCTGCCCTTTTTGCTACGGTGTCAACCTAGCTGTTGGACAGCCCACCACCAGATCTTACAAAATCCAGAAGAGCCAACGTGTATTCTCATTCAGTTATCATACTGACTGTTTCTCTACAATTCAGTTGTGATCATCAATCCTCAAGTGCTTCCTAGATGTCTGTAAATCTAGGATACACAACTTATATACTAAGCCAGTGCTCAAACTGACTGTTCTTTTGCTCCTGTTGTGATTGTGGTCAACACAAGTTCCTTGAGCTGTATAGCGTTTCTTGATGTTCTAAACAAAAAAAGAAACCTTTTTAGAACACAAAATTGGAACTTTTCAAAAGGCCAAAAATCGCAATTTTCAAAAGGGGTTAACCCGCGACTTGTGTTTTTTCCTTTTTCGATCAAAAAAGCTTGAAAATAGAGTTTCTTGATGTTCTACCTAAAAAAAGAAACCTTTTTAGAGAACTTTTCATAAGGCCAAAAATTACAATTTTCCAAACGAGTTAACCCACGATTTTGGTAAAAAAATTCAAATTTTTTCTTTATTTGTTTTTCGCCAAAAATAAGCTTAAACATAGAGTTTCTTGATGTTCAGAAATAAAAAGGAAACTTTTTTTATTCCACTAAAATGGAAAATTTTCAAAAGGCTCAAATTTGCAATTTTCCAAAGGGGTTAATCCACGATTTTAATCCAAAATAATCTTAAAAATAGAGTTTCTTCATGTTCTAAATAAAAAGGAAACATTTTTAGACCCCAAAAATGCTCACTTTTCATAAGGCCAAACATCGCAATTCTCCAAAGGGGTTAACCCACGATTTTGGTCAAAAAAATTGCAAATTGCATACGCTCAAAAAGAGTGTTTTCATATTCTAAACAAAAAACAAGCCTTTTTAGCCACAAAATGGGATCTTTTCATCAGGCCAAAGTTCGCAATTTTCCTAAGGGTCTAACCCACGATTTGGTAAAAAATATCTAAAATTTTTCTTTGTTTGTTTTCTGCCAAAATTAACTTTAAAATATAATTTCTTGATGTCCTAAATACAAAGAAAACCTTTTTAGGCTACAAAAATAGGAACTTTTCATAAGGTAAAAGATCGCAATTTTCCAAAGGGGGTAACCCACAATTTTGGTCCAAAAAATTCCAAAAAATTGTATTTGCTTTTTCACTGAAAAAAGAGTTTCTTTTATAGTGGGGAGGAGCGTTGCGTGACGACATCGTAGAACGAACACATAATTTTCTTACACGAAGTACATAGTGAGGTTTACCAACATGGCGGCCTCGAAGCTCGAAATCAATTTCCGCCGTCTTTTGGAACGCTGCGAAGCGATGGCCTCAGAAATCCAGGAGAATAAAGAAAACGTAAGCTGGAGGTTGGAAAAAGTGAGTTATAGCATTCATCAAAAAATTGTTTTCTACTGTTACCTCTCTAGGATTTGAACAAATACTGAACAAACTGTCAACCCCAGCTGTCTGGTCGGGTTTGTAACAATTTTTCACCGTTTTTCTACTTCATATTGCAGTATGTTTTTACGTTACAGAGGCAAGCCGCCGAACTAAAAAAGTCAGAAAGGTTAGTTTTAAATGCAGAGTAATAAGATAAAAGTTAAACGAGCAATACGTCAATGTAAAATAGTGATTTTAAATAATAAGCTTAAAACAGCTGATACAGGTAGTCTTTACTCTGACGAATCTTAATGTCGGGTCGATTGTATTTAGTATTAATATTTTAGTCATCACAATAGAGCTTTTTTTATCAGTACCTGACCCAGTTAAATAACGGAGAAAAAAGTCTTTTCATATTAAAGGAAAAAATTCAACGTATTGGTATACCGACAATGGACATAGCTAGTTCATTGTTTAATTTTGGTACCCCGATATGGCGGACTGAAGTAGACATCTCCCTTTGGTAGCAGGCAGCGGTTGGCTGGCCTGAGCTAAATTTAAGTTGTCTAGCAGTATACAACATTCTGAAAGGCAGATGACTTGTGTCTCTAACGTACTGTAGGCACCAGTGGTCAGGGATGTAGATAATAGCCGGGAGCTGGGAAAAATACCCGGCTGTCAAAATTATTTTTCCAGCTGAAAAAAATGCAGTCTTTAAAAAGGCAACTGTTTTCTTCTCATGTTATCTGTCCATCAAATGCCATTTCCCATTGGTTATAAATTTAAGCTACATCCCTTGTGGTTAGCTGATATCAGCTTCCGAGTTTCACTTTTTTGTCACTCTGTAACTAAACTTTCTTCAATTCAAAGCAAACATTCACATGGTGAAAAAAACCTCTAATGATACTGGTGGTTGTTTAATTTTTGGCATCACCAATGAGTGTAGCTAGCATTTCAGGTCATGTCTCTCATGATTAAAAAAGTGTACCTTTTCAAAAACTGGGAAATCAAAATATTTTGGTTCCATGAGCTTGTCGAGTCACATTTAAGATACATTTTTGGAAATAATCAAAACATTAAATGTTAATTATTTTTTGTCTTGTTACAGCAAACCAAGTCCAGACACAATGACTGAATACAACAAGAAAGTAGAGTTCCTTAAAGGTTTAATAGAAACACAGAAAATGGTGAGACAGGGATCAATGTTTTGAAATCTTAAGATGCGCATCTGTTGTTGCATTCAAATAGGAAAAATTATTGTTTAGGAATAACTAGGAAATGCTTGTCGGCAGAGAATATACAAGTACAATAAATTGTGTATCATTTGCACGTGACCTTCCATACATTGTCTCTGTTTTATTTACGTGAGTAAAACTTACACGCATATGCACACAAAAATTACGCAACAGTCAAAATCCACCAAAAGTCATAAGGGGAAGATCCAGGCACCCTTCAATTTCTACTGGCTCTGAAAATACCATGATGATTTAGGTTTGTTAGAAGCTCTCAAATTTTCCTTTAAATTTCTATTGCAGTTGAATACAAGTGTAGATCCATGTAAAATAAGAGTTACGTTCACTTTGTTTTGTAGAAAACACCAACAGAAAAACTTCTCGCCAGTCGGCAGTTAGTGCGTCCACTGAGTCAAACATCCAATGCACAGCAGACCACAGAGGCAGACAAAGGACGAACAGTAAACAGAGCACAAGAACTACACATCAGGGCCAAGTCACAGATTAATAAAGAGATGAGAAGTGAACTTCTGGGAGAAGGTGAGAATAATGCAGCTAAAAATATTTCACTTCTGATACAATGCACTTGTAAGTTAGTTTATTTGATATTTATTTTTGTTGATTTTTGTAAGGATCATGCACATTACTGGCTCACATTTCTCGACACATTATGAAGGTTTTCTTAGCTTAATATTGTGAGTCACAAAACTAAGGACCTTCAGGGCACCTTACCATGACACATTAATTTTGCCTTGTTTTTTGGGCATTTTGTGACCTGAAATACTTTTATTTTTTAAAAATATTGAACAAAATTATTTAATTGATTTATTAGTGCTAGAAGTTAACTAGGAACCTTGCTCATTTTCCAGACGATAAGAAAGACAGTCATGGAGTGCGAAACAGGTGACTGATTATATTTTACTTGCATATTACTAGTTTGGTCCCTTAGCCACTGTAATAGATAACTCTTCATTTTCAAATCTCCCATAATCACTCTGTTTGCTCGCTACATTTAGCATAAACTGTAGTCTTCAAATGTAGCCTGCGAGCAAGCTCTTCAGGGTGCTCTTGCAGCGGGAAAAAGTTGATGCAAAATGCTTATTGGCGGAGATGACATTGGTAATGATGTCATTACCCTTGATGCGTGCTTTCATGTGTTTTTCAATGCTTGTTTAGCTTCGTGCGCATTTCTGCTTTGCGCTTACTTGCAAGCTCTCCTTCCTTTTTCTGCCCTGCTGCCAGAGTGCCCTGGAGAGATTGCTTGCACGCTACTTCAAATGCTCCTGGGAGAAGTGCATAATTTCAATGGCATTTGAACACAAAAACTTTACTTATATGTAAAGCCTGGGAGGCAAGAGCAGTGTTTTTTGTGGTAATTCAAAAAATAATAGTTAATGGAAACAAATCCCTGATAGCAAGTCAGTATTAATGCTCTGGTGTTAACTTTTAAAATACTTTCTGCAACATTGAATTGTTAGTTAGTGTGGTGAACAATTAAAATCTGCCTTCTATAGCTTGTGTTCCAGCTCCAGGCCCAAACATTTTAAAACCTCAGAGTGTGTTCCATTTGAATGATCCAAATAAGAATCAGTGACCTGTGATCACTCAGATTGTAGCAAATTATTCAAATAAGGATCACTCAGATTATAGCACTTCAAAGGATCAGACAAATCGACCCTGGGAAAGGATTCATCAGTTCACTTGATGTACCATGATCTGAATAATCTCTGATCTAAATCACGCAAAGGAACTCACCCTTAGACTATAATTATAGCTAGGCTATACGTGTAGTGTCTGCCATACACTGGATACCTGTTTTTGACAAACCTTTTTCTTGAAGATTAACAGGCAACAAGAAAAGTGATGCAAATGATGAAAGCATTGACTCAGTTCTACAATACCATCAGAACTTACAAGAAAATATAGCAGAGGAAATGATAAAAATGGCTCAGCATATAAAACATACATCTGTCATGGCCAGCAACATTATTAAAGAAGATAACAAGGTTACTAGGATGTTTGTCCTTTCATAACAGTAAATAACAAGTTATTGGATGAGGTCTTTTCCTGACATATGAAACAGAGTAGGTCAAGTAAATGTTATTGGCTGACGCTGATAACTCTTGCCGAGACTTTGATTATTGCGAATACCGTATTTCTTTGAATAATAGCTGTCCCTGAATTAATCGCCTCCCTTGAATAATTGCCCCCCTTTGATGGAAACGTTTAAAATAATCGCCTCCCCCACCTCTATAGGTTACCCACTAGGGATCATGTTAGCCATTGTGGAACTTGGAGGGTGGAGCTAAAGTGGAGTCTGATTCAGCAAAACTGATCAGTGATGATTCAAGCTCTGATGCCACAGAAATTGACAGCAAAAATTAATCAAGGAACCAAATTTGGAACACTTTAAATGCCATTGTTCTTTTATCTGATGTGATTATTATTATTTTTATTTAATGGGAAAATAGAAGAAATATTTAGGGCATGACTTCTAGTCAGCAATATTTGAAATAGTCGCCTCCCTCGAATAATTGCCCTCTTTTGCTGCAAAAAAAGAAATAATCACCCCCAGCCATTATTCAAGGAAATACCGTATCCCAAAAACCAAATCCAATAAGAATTGTTTTATTATACACGGTTGTGAAGGAAATGGTGTTATGATAAACACATTGTCCTTGAATACCAAGCTTTGTGCACACAATTTGAAGCCTGTCATAAATATGATCAGCTACCAAGGTGACCCCTGGCCTACTGATATAAATTTAATAGAACAAAAATAGAACCAAATGAAATCTGTACCTGTTTGATTCCCTGCCTGCTTGTTTCCTGCAACTCGAAATCTTAGTGACAGCCATGTAAATTTGTATCACTAAGTTTCTTTACTATTGTAGACGAATTACCCAAAGTTTGGGCAAAACCACTGCCAAGAATGCAAAAAGTCCACTTTTGGTTGACGTGCGTTATTCCAAACAATGTTGTTTAAAAGCTACGGTAACATGGTTTTTCAGAATTGTTGATGTGGACTTAAGTAAAGGCTTTAAACCGGCTCCTATAAAGGATAATGCCTGAGCCCTAAGGCCTTGTTAAAAATAATGACTGAGTGCCCGAGGTCATTTTTTTTAACAAGGCGTTGGGCCAAGGGGTTTAATATACTTTTCCACTGTTTTAGAACCAGCAAGTCATAATAAGGATCTCCTGTTCCACCTCAGCGATCTGGGTTTTAATTTATTGAAAATAATAACTAATGCTCAAAACAATAGAAAGGTGCAGTAATAACTAGGAAGGCGTATTTGCAAATTGGTCGATTTAGAAAGGCTCTATGTACAGACATCACAGGTAAACTTTGAAAAACTTACTGTTCAATTTTGTGTTTTGTTTTTAGACCTTGGAGCAGTCAACAAAGCTTGCAGATTCAAATTTTGAGAAACTAAAACGAGAATCAGAAAGACTTGAGGAATTAACACAGACACCATGTTCCTGGTGGATTTGGATTATGATAATTACAGTCTGCATAGTGTTTATGTGGATGATTATATTTATTAGACTTTTCCCAAAGAAGTGATATACCGGTAGTGATAACCTTAAAGCAGAACTCTTCAAACAAAAAAGGATATGTACAAGAATTACAATTTGACAATAATTTTCAATAAAAGAATATTATTATAAAGAAGACTGTTTCAGCTTACTGTGTTTAATTTATCAAGAACTGAAATTCTTCTGGGCCCAGATATTTTTAAGGTGGATAACGCTATCCATTGGTTAAATCTCTTGTTACCAGATAGCTCAATTGGTTGTCCAAATACTTAACCGCTGGACAGTGATTTATCTGTTGGATAGCACTTTCCAACATATTTTGAACAACCAGGGATAGTGAACCACTTAATCTAACTAAGTGTTGATGAATTTAGCATGAAAGTACTAATAAAGGCCAATATTTTCATATCTCCTACTGGAGACATGACTGCACTGCCATTTTACTTGGTCATCTGAGCCACACAAAGGTCTAGCCATCTGAAGGGTAAAGGTGGTACTAACAATGCTCAGTTATTTTAATACGTGGCTATTAGTCAGGGCACCTGGGGATCAAACCTGTGAATTTCCTGTAATAAAGCATTCTAGCAACTAAGGGTGATTTCCAAAAGTCAGTAATGGGTGGCTAAACCATGATCGGACCAGTCAGTTTGAAGATGAAATTGGCTTTTTCAAGGAGTGTTTACTTAAAAACGTCTCTTTAATGCAATCTATTCAGGATTTGACTCACTGATCTGGCTGGATAGTTTTGATTAAAAGTGAAATTCTCATTATGATAGGAATGGTCTGGCTGGTCGGTTCTGACAAATAGAAAGCATTCTAAGTTAGTATTAAAACAAAGAAAATCAAACCTAAGGATAAATGAGGCTGAGGGAGGGGAAGGCAAAAAAGTAAAGTAAGGAGGGGGGAGGGGTGAGGTAAATGTCTTGCAATCCCTAAATGGAAAATGACTGAATTGAGATCGCCCTCTACCATCCAAAAGTTGATGTATAAAAAATCTACTATATTCTTGCTGCCTTCACAGCATTATTCACTCAGGTAAATGTACGTCAATAAACTTTAAAATTTATTTACACTGTAGACCTTTACTATGTTGTCCACTGAAATGAGTAAATAAATTACCCAGCCAATTCACTTTACAGTTTCAAATAGAGAACGCAACTTGCAAGTCTCATCTCTTATTTTAATACGCGTCCTCATTCACTATCGAACTTAATGTTAGGGAAAGAATTTACTCGTAAATGACGAAATCTTGGCCTTGTGTCAAACAAATATAGACGTCTCCCAAGCAACAACAATTCACAACAAAAATAAACTTTACAGTTGCCCTTGTTTTCTTTCCTCGCATTGCCTTTCCATTTCCAGGTGTTACGCGATCTGAGCGTGCACTTGCGTTCTTCACTTGTTCTGTTTTCTCTGGGTGAAGTATATAGTACTTCTCTGAATTAACAATATTTTAAGGGTCGCTAAACATTGAATTCCCTTAAGGGAGGTTGTATCTCTATGTACAGAAGTGGAATAAGAAGAAGATCCAGTGTAATAACATGATTAAGATAAGCTGTCAAACTCACATGAAGTTCACCTGAAAAACAAGGCTCTCATGTGTAAACACGAAGTTAAATCACACTTAAATAGATCCTACAATTTCCACTTGGCTTCCAAAGTAAAAAACGCATAAGTTGTGGCTTAAAATTAAAAAAACAAGAGAGTCAAAAGAGTATTAAGCTTCAGTCTCAGTTAAAATTGTTGGGACACTTTGCTGTCTTCTTGCTGTCCCAATGTTGGTGTGCAAGATTTGGTGAGTTAACTGCGATAAACAACATTGGGAGGACGAGGAGACGGGCAAAAACTGAAAAAACAGCGTTGGGTGGAAGTGTCTCGAGTATTTTTGTTGAGACTGTAGTTATAAACTATTTCCCTTATTCATTTAGACTATGTTCACACGTTTCCGATAGCTCTTGAGCCGATACGACAAACCACATGTTCACACATAACAGTGATTCAGCAACTTGAAAGTGGATCGTCATATATCGGGTAAGTTTCTGGGACAAACCTCAAGTGTACTTGATAAAATAGGCTGTTTCCCTGACAATATTATCCGCTGCATTTCTTGTCAATTGGGCCTGTAAGGTGGGAGACAAACTGAAAAAAACTTTCTTGACAATGACTGTGAATACAGCACCGAGAGACAAGAACGCAAAACCTTCAGGGGCACCCAACGACAATTTTTGGAAAATATCTGTTCGGAAGATGATTTGAGATCTAGAATTTTCGGAACATTTGTTGTAAAGTTTCTTGCTTGCCTGCCTCTCCTCCTAGGATTTTCAAACATCTAAAAAATGGTATAATTGCCCATTTTTAACGGATTTTTATCCTAAAAAGGTCACCTAGAGTTTTCGGGAGCCTTTTTTCTGGCTGAAATTTTCGAAAAGGTAAGTTTTGATCCCTATAATTTTCGCATCACTAGACTTTCAGCTAGGAAATCCCAACAATTCTTAGAGGATAAAAATATGCCTATATCTACAGTTTAAATACCAAAATACGTTCAACAATGCTATGTTTAAGTGGTTTTGAACTATATTCTCGTTGGGTGCCCCTGAACCTTTTGCGCTAGAATTCCCTGACTAATATACTGATGAACAGTTTTTTGTTAGATATATTCAGAAGCAGCAACTTGCCGTCTGTCCCTTCGAATCCTTTTCTTTTTAAGCCACACTTTTACTTTGTCCTTATCTATTACTCTAACCGTCTAGAAGTCAACTTTCCGTGCGATGCCTGAGTATAATGTCATGACGCTTTTGAACCTTATTTTACTCTCCATAGAAAGTTACAGAGAGTTCAAATGTGGATAATGATTGGTATTTCAACCGAAGTTTGCTTAAGTCATATATACGACTCTTACTTGTAGCGCAACGGTTGTTGACTTGCAATCTCACTGTTTTCAGGGAGGAGCATTTCATCATTAAATGGTCACAAAATCTTGGTAGCCAGTCTTCACTTATTTCCCTGCAGATGTTGACTGTCAGATTGAGATCAGTTAATGATGTGTTTTCTAGAAAATCATCTGGTTCCAGTTCCTCACGCCAGTCATCACGCCATTCACCTTCAATGTAGTCATTTACTGTCAGCGTGAGTGTAGTTAATGCCTTGATTTCTGCTATACAACGTTTCAGAGGGCTTACCCATAATGCACAGCTCAAGTATTTGTAATCACTGACTGTAACAGTGAGGGACACTATTGAATTGTTCACTGAGAGTCCTTCAATGAAATTCTCTATCCAGTCAGAATAAGTAAGGGTGATGTTGTTAATCGTAATGACCAGTTCCTTTAAAGATGAGGTACTTGCCAGTCCTAAACTGAGACCATCTACCCAATTCACAGGTATTGAATTGCCAGAGAAGAGTGAGAAGGCATGGAAAGAGATATTTCCACGTTCCGCGTAGTTGTTACTTGTAAGGCAGAGTTTTGTTAGTGAAGTGCATTCTTCCAAACATTTTCTCAGAAATTTACCCCAAAAGAAAGTTAACTTACTACCGTTGATTACGACGGAAAGTGTAGACAAGGACTTCACTGCCATCAAATCTTCTCTAAATTTCATTACCTCGCCATGATCGTCAATTGAGAGACTAAGTGTAGTTAATGACGCCATTTTAGCCAAGCTGTTGATCAGCGTGCATCCCCAGCCTCCTGAGATGTTACTGTAGTTGCTGATTGTAAGACTTAAGACTGTTAATGAAGAACTTCGCAGCAAACTATCCCCGAGGTATTTCCGAATTCCTGGATTCATTGTGTAGTTGCACACTGTAAGATCGAGCGTAGTAAGTGATGTGTTTTCTGCCAAAGCATCAACTAGCAGACGTGGCCAGTCACTAATTACTTTATCGTCGATATTTATTTTAAGATTGATCTTCTTCTTTCTGGTATTCTTAACTTCAGAGAACACTGGTGTAAGTGATGCAGGATTGTCAATACAGACATCAAGAGCATTGCTCGCTTCCTTAGGAACAACACTGACGCCATGCAATTTCAATTGAACAGTTTCATTGTTTCGTGATAGTTCCTGAAGTACAGTTTCTGTCCCTGAGGTCAAATCGTCCCAAATCTCGATTGTTAGGGAGTGTAATGTATTTTGTCCTCTGACATATCTTTCAATAATGGTAGCAACACCATCACTTAATTTTCCATACAATTTCAATCTCAGGCTTGTCAGGGGGGCACGCACCAAGACCTCACATAAAGCTTCTGCTCCATCACATTTCAGCTCTCCCCAAATGACCACAGTTAAGTGTTGTTTTGTTTCCCACCCTTTTTCTACCACAGCAGGACAAAAATGAGCCACTTGATCACATGTAACACTGCTGCCTGGATCTGGATGAAAAGTACAGCTAAGTGACCCCTTATTTACTGAACGAAGATTTTCCACAACAGACTGCCAGTTGTCAGGAATCTCTCCACGGACAATCAGTACTAAATCGTTTAAAGAACGATTTTCTAGAAGACTGTTTTGTAGGACATTTGCACAAGAGAGACTAAGTTTGCCGTTAACACTAAGATCTAATGACTTGACTGCAGTTTGTCCTGTAATTCCTCTGCTAATAGCTGCAGCTTCCCTTTCTTGCATATCTCCAAAGATATTAAGGGAAAATGAGGCCAAAGCTTTATTTGATAAGAGCTTTCCTAAGCCATGGACCGCAGTATCACTCAATGATCCTCGAACCTGGAGGTCCACAGACTTCAAAGGAGTGTCCGCAGACAAAGCAGGTTCAATAGCACTGGCCCAATTCTCCCCCCACACTCTGTCAAGTTCTAATGTTACTTTGCTCAAGGCTTTGCAAGCCACCAATGATTCACCGATAGCAACTGCTGCGTCATAAGGGATACTGTTATTCACTTGTAGAGAGAACTCTGATAAAGTCGTGTTTCCAGATAAGCCGTTGTGTAGGGCTTTCGCTAGATCTGGTTTCATTGCTGGGGTGGAAATGGCAAGAGTCTGAAGCTGCGAGCAGGATTGTATAGACTCTGCAACAATCTTATGGCTTAAAACGCCTTCAGATGACTCACAAACAGTAAGCTGAACTGGTTTCTGTACATTTGCAAAGGTTTTGCAGGCCTCTAAAAC